AAAAATTCTAGTAAATCCTACTAAAAGCTGCATGCGGCATGCGGCAAGTCCTGGACTTTTTATAATGTTTGGATTGAGAAATACTTCAGGTTTCGTTCTTAGAGGTTGTTGTATGCTATGAGAAGTATCTGAATATGGATACAGACTCAGATTTAATTTGAATGGCAGTCTGTTGTCAGTGATTCACATCTCATGCACTCTTTTTTCTCCCAGCGCCATTTTCAGTTTTCTATCTTTGCTTTTTATATTAATAACCGAGGCCTCATCGAATATCTGACTCTGCCTTCATAGCTTCATTCGACTGTTTCTGTCTGTTTCCCTGCCCAGCAACTTCCCAGTAACAGAGCTCCCACAGAGCTATCTGTCATCTATATATGTACATCCTATATAGAACATACGCATTACGTATGCATCTACTGTGTTCTGGACAAAAACCTAATTTGACTTACTTTTGTTCATAATCATGTGTTGATCTGTCACCTGCTTCAAATTTCAGCTTTCGCTCATTGTTTCGTTGTTCATTTGAAAGTGCTCTCGGCTGTGGTTATTGTTGTTGTTGTAGTTTTAGTTGTAGTTGTCGGTCCCCAGTGAATAGATGGATGGAAGGATGGATGGGCGGATGGGCGAATGGATTGCATTGTTATGCAAAAGTTTCGACCACCCAACAAAAGCAAATCACATTGATGATGGGCTTGGGTTTCGTTTACGGTTTGGGTTTGGGTTTGGGTTTGGGTTTGGGCCTCTGTGTCTGTGGGTCTGGCCTAGGGATGGGAGATTGGGGCTTGGGGATTGGGGATTGGGGCTTGGAAGAGTATTTAGTGTCACATCATTAAAATCGACAAACAACTTTTGTCAAACAACAATTCAGCAGAAACTACATCAAGACCCACCCAGTGTACCCCAATCCCAATCCCAATCCCAGTCCCTATTCCTATTCATTTCCCTTCCCATATAAACTACAAGTGGAAATCTGCAAAATTAATGAGTCATCGTAAAAGTTAACAACTTGCACAAAATTGTTTATCTAAAGTGCTAAGCTCTTCTGCCTCTGCCTCTGCCTCTGCCTCTCCCATTGCTGCGTCCTGCCTCCCTCGCCTTCCCGACTATATCTAATATAAATTGATGTTCTCGATTGGATTGGGTGCCTCAAGCAGGTTCTGGGAGAATGTTCTGGGATGTGGGAGGGGTAAAGAACACGCAGACGTAATCACTTTTTAAGTGTTGGACAATTTATGATACATGAAAATGTTCTTCCTGCTTAGCTCTCCACAATCAACCGCACACCTGCACCCCATCTCACCCGCTGAATCCAAGCTTTCCCCCCCCTCTCAATACAGAGCTGAGAGAGGGTTGACAGTAAGACTCAAAGATTACTTTGGTCTCGGGCTTGTCCTCAAAGGGTTTTCTTCTCCAGCCACCCTCCACACTCCACACTCCCCTGCGCCGCCATTCAGAGGCTTCTCTGTAACTGTTGTTTCCCCCACAAAGCTATCGCCCTCCACCCCGCGGCCGCACCTGTGTGCGCAATAAACACCTCAAAGTTGATGACATTTCATTAAGATCAAGGTGTGGTGGGCCTGGGCCTGGGCCTGGGCCCAGAACGGAGAACGGAGGCTGGCAGGCGTGCCAAATGAATTTACTTATGGAGCATGAAAGTGGGTTTCTTTGGTTACTTTCGGTTAACTCGCCTCGCCCCCACTGCTACACCCCCAGTTCCCATGCTTTACCCCTAGCATGCCCCAACAGCATTGATGAAAATTTTCGTGTTCATTTGGTGAAAAGGTTTTGCAGAACGATGAACGTTGACAGCGACGCCACGGCTTCGTCGACGCATTGAATTTCATTAAAACAAGCGCAAAAGTGCTTTTACGTATCCCCACATATGAGAAGCGGGAGGGGGCGTGGGGACGTGGTGGCTTGGTGGCTTGGTGGCTTGGAGGAGACTTATGATAGGCAGAAGACGCCGGCAAGGACTCTCGCTCTCACCCACATCCACTAGGACACACACTGACGGTAAGAGAGACTAAGTGTTGCCGCCTTTCTGCCTTTATTGGTCTCCTTGATTTGCCTAAGTGATGTGACGAGATGTGTGAGTGTGTGTGTGTGCATTTTCCTCTTAATACTAGGGAGAAGGGGACGGATACATAAAGAACCCTGTAGGTGAGTTTTCAAAAGAGCGAGGCGACTTTGATTGCGAAAACCGCAGATCACTTACAATTCGAAAGCTGGCATATTCGATGGGAGTCCGTCTTACTGCATTTTTAGTTTTTCTTGGTGATGGAGAGAGGGAGATCTCCAGAGGACGATCATCAAACTAGTTCGCTCAGTCGAACTAAATCCCGAGCCCGTACTATATTCAATTAAAATTGCCCCTTTTTTCTAACTTCTCTCTAGGATATTTTAAGTTTCAAATATTCAAAATGACACCCAATCTTTCGATAATGCCAATATCGAATCTTTATATTCAGTAATTTCGTTTTTTCCAGAAAACAATCCGGTAAACTGGCTGTCCATATTTGGGGTATTGGACCCTCAGTCAAAATTCAATACGAAACTCAGTTTGAATCATTTCTTTTCTGATATTTTCTCGTCAGACGATTCTCGCTCTCGCGGAAAGTTTTCAAATGAACTCCATACATCTCGAAAATTCCTGTATGCAATGCATATTCCGTGCTTACCTCTTTAACTAAGGAACTATCCAAACATTATAAGTCTTTCTGCTTTTTTTTAAAAACGCAACTCAAGGTCGATTTGGTCTTCCTTGCTCTAAAATAATAACGGCCTTATACCTGTCATCTGTACATATGTAGATGTATACATATTTATATAAATCCGAAGATAAGTGCAACTTCAATGACCGATCGAATCAGTTAGCGTGAATCAACCTGTTGACCATTCTTATTCTTTTCGTTCGGCATAAGAAACCTGCTTCTAAGAGAAAGGTATCTAAATCGGATTGAATTGGTGCTTGATTGGTTTTTTTGCAGGTCAGGTCGATGTTGAAGATAAAACTAAAAAAAAAAACATTTTTAAACTACTTTTGTTTACTGAATAATGCTTGGAATGAATAAGCCGAATAAATTAAACCAACAGACAGAATCTAAAGTTAAGTCTAAAGGCTTAAAGATGTACCGAAGAAAAGGGTCAGTTTTAAGCGCTTACATATATGTATCTTCTAAACACTGCTTTAAAAACCTTAAGACTTACTCAACCAATGAGGTAACAAATACTCATCCAAAGTCGAGTCAAAGAACAGCCCGAACGGAACTAAAGCGTAGAAGAGCCGAATGTGAATTCAAAAAGCACCACATCCAGTCAAAATCATAATAAATACTGGTATGGAGATGAGCCAAAAAGCTGACCTGAATCAAAACTTAATTACAGCCGAGCCCCAGCGCAGAGCAAACATGAAGCTCAAGAATCTGCAATGAAAAGAGCCTGATACTCGTAAAATGAAGCAAAGCTAACCGAAAAAAAAAAACAAATACGAAAAGAGAGGGAACGTTGCGATAGTACCTTGTCGCGGCTCTACTTTATAGCCGGTACTCAGTCAGTATTTGTTCACATATGTGAGCTTATTATTTATGTGATCTATGCAATGGATTTTAAAGTCGTTTAATATCGCTGTTCTAAAAAAAGGGATAAACTGGTTTTTGGCAAAAAAATCGTATCTTAAAAATTCTGGATGCCACCGATATTGTTTTTTGTAGGAGCGCAGAGGGGCGTGGCAAAATTTTGAAATAAACTTGATTCAGTGTGATATCACAGTCTGAACACAGAATTTCGTTGCTCTCTGTCAGAAATCTGAGATAACCCCCGTTGAAAATGCTGTACTTTTTTACTGCGCGGCCTGAACTGGGATGTATGTCGAAGATTTGCATCCTACCCCAATAGATTGCTTTTAATACACGTTCCATCCTTAGTTAATCGTAGAAAAATGCTTGATGTGATGGTTATGCGCAACTTGATCAAAGGAGACGTAGATAGCCCTGATTTGTCGAGCCGCATAAACTTTACGATTCCTATTATATTCACTGGAAACTGCATAAATACCGTTGTCCCTTCCGTTTTGTAGATCGAATTATTTCTTTCATGACCCGTTTTCGGACTTATTCCCTCTACAATGATATATTTACTACTAGTTCCTTTCCTCTTGTCAAATTACTAATACTAGCATATAGCATATCTTTCTCATAATTAGTATTCGTTTTAGTATTTTCAATGCATGCTCAGATCTGTTACACAGGACACCAGACACCAGATTCTACTTTTGAGTGAAGTGTGGATGTGGAGTGCACACTTCGAAGATGGCCAGGGACAGCGCAACAGCTACGAGACAGGTAAGCAATCTGCTCGAGAGTAAGATGCTGGCAACATGTTGCCAAAGGACTGAAGCCCACTCCCACTGAGCCGCTAGCTCGGGCAGCCCGAATGCCGAGGAGGACTTGGCCGAACTGCCAGCGAGTGCTGTGAGCCTCGTCTGGCTTCGGCTTCGTCTGACTTCGCTTGCTCCGCTTCGCTCCGAATGGCAGCGACTTCGTCGCGCGTGGGGACAGGACAGGAAATAACGGGACAGGACGAGCAGAGTAGCCGAATTACGAGCGCGTTGTGTAAGGTCGGTCCAATGCGAGCAGAGCTTGGCGCGACAGGTTCAGTGCTCGGGCAACTTCCTAGCGCGTCGGTTTGGTTCAGTCCTCAGAACTCAGAACTCAGCTCCCAATCTCAACTCTGAATCGGGTTCCCCGCTTACCGTTACAAAATCATTTTGAAAACAGTTTTCCAACGGCCGCAGAAAAACGCAAGTCGCAAAAAGCGAATCGAATCAAGTCCAATCAAATCAAAACAAAACAACCAAATCAAGAAAAGATTAATTTAAAAAAGTGAAAACCACTTCAATAAAACTAAATAAAGAGAATTCCATATCTCAAAGTTGCGAGTATTTTATGTATATATTGCCGATTTGGTTTGAAAAGTGTTTTTGAAAAACCTTGTTTGTTTTTGCATATTTTTTTCGAGTGCTGGCAGGTGTTTGGAATCGGCTTGTGAACCGGCACAGGTAATCAAAATCTATCAAAATTTAAAGCTTAAGATTCTTCCTTTGAGTTCCCCGTGAGTGTTTGGAGTGTTTCGCAAGGACTTCAACTATCCGGGGAAGAAAATTATCGCAGGCCAAAACCACGACCTCGCTGCGGTCCTCTGGTTCTTTGAAATCCTCAAGTCTTCCGCCAGTGTCGACCGTTAGTCTCACTAATTTGCTCGTTCATGTAACGAATTATGGATTGTGTGCATTTTCATCAGCACTCCTTTTTCGATCACTTATGTACACTGTACATTCTTTTTGTCATAGCTCCAACCGCAAATTTAAATACATATGTACATATGTACTTATGTGTACATACGAGTATGAGTATTCTATGTCACAATCATTTACACAACCACTTGTATTTCACTGTAGCTTGCTTGTGAGTGTGTGTTTCTAATTAATAATCACTATTTTAAAACGTCGGACTGTATTCGATTGATTGGAATATTTTACTTTCATCAGACTTTTGTGTGTTCATTTACTTAGGCCATTGCCTGTTCGTGTATTCAGTCATTCATTTCTACATTCACCTGATTATCCTCTTCAAGGACCTTAACCTTAGTATTTTCCATTTCTGTGCTTAGCCATTTCATAGACAATACTTGTAGTATTTGAATCAATCCTTGACTGCTTACCTTTTAGTAATGAAATTCATTGTCTATAGCATGCCTTATTTCCTCCGTATTCAAATTCGTACTCTGTCCATTCATTCCGGCAATTTTGTCTCTGCATCATTCAAACATTGCGGTGCTTTTGTAAAGTTATTCACATGTTGTCTAGTGGATTTATTTTGTATTCACATTTTTTCGGTTGCTTGTATCCTTGTAATTTGTTAAGTTATTATTCATGAACTCACAAAATTATTTTGTCACATCATGCATTCAGTTGTTCGTTGCATCACCCATTCATCCTCTACTGTCTTCGATTACCCCACTCTTTTACCTCTTCAGAGTCTGTTCATCCCAAATTTGTAAGCTATCCCTTCACCCCTCACACACGTTCTTCTAAAATTAATTTTTTAAGGAAAACTCAAACTTTATACCATCGTCTTGCGCCTAACAAAGGGCGCCAAAAATGAAACTGCAGTTGCCATCCTTGACTCCTTCACCCCATTCGGCCGTCTTTCTGACCAGCCGCTTCAAGTTTTTAGCTGGCCGTGATTTATATTTTATTAATATTAAAAGTGATTTATTAGCCATGAAATTTGTGTGCAAAACTTGGCCATGCCCAGGGCCAGGTGAAACCTTCACCGTCGCTGCATGCACGATTGTTTAATTACATGGGGACCGCCGTCTCCGTCTCCATCTCCGGCTTGTGCTCCTGCGCCTTCGCCGATGCAATTTGGCAGTTGGCGCCACGTTCCGTAATATGTATTTTTAAGCGAGAGTCCTAGAGCAGCACTCATTAACCCGCTTTCGACTGCCCTGCCCGATCGCCCAAACTCAACCTAAACTGCAAAGTGAGATTAAAATTATAAATGACAGCAAGACTGACAGGACAGGACAGGACAGGACGAAGGAGTGGAAGCAGGACCAAGAGCCGCACCCGGAGCGGTAGCATCTGTTCATCCTGGCTGTTCTTTCACGTCATTTCGCCTTCTGTGTGTGTTTCACACTCTCCCGCGTCGCGTCTCTATTTGGCGTCGCATTTTGTCGTGTTTTTAATGAAAATTAATTAATCAAATAACATTTTTCACTTATTCGCTCGTTGCACAGTGGGACATTCGGCCATTTCAGCTAGCTAAATGAATAACTTGTGATCGAATAAAGAATCTTCATGAAATAAACTGCATTTGAAAGGAAAACGATTCTACTATGCCTAGAGCCTTTAGTGCATATTTTTATACATACATAAATTCTAAACTTTCATTTCTTTTTATTAAATTTTGGTTGAATCATTTCTGTTCTGTGTTCTTCTTATACATATGTACCTGCGCCACCGCTATTTTGGTTGTTTTGTCTGCGACGGTGCGACTCTTAAATCGTTCTAGAAGCAAAATCTCACAATAGCTCAGGTTTCGTTTCAACCAGTTCGTATGTTTTCTGCTATCTCGCACACTGCACGAGGAAGAGTGTGTGTGTGATAGAGAGAGAGCGAGAGAGAATGAGTAAGCGCGTGGTTGCCACTGCAATATCTTTTGTTCCTTCTGGCAATAATAATGATTCGATCTGATCCAGATCTTCAAAATTTAATCCTTTCTGGGGGCGGGCGAATTCTTGAAATACACCCTTAACAGTGGGTTATCCCAGGAGTCTGGATATAACATTTTGTTGCTCGCGCTCTTATGGTCTGGAAAAACTAGGCGTCAAACATGGCGGACAAAACGTCGGACTCGGCAATTTTTGCTGATCAAGAATATATATATTTTATAGGTGTTACACACATCCACTTTCACCACAAATCTAGTATATCCCTATAATCTGTTAGTATTAAGTTTTCAATATAACCAGGGGTAGATCGGGTTGCTCTGAAAGTGATGTCAAAGCGTAAAAATAGGTCAACAATTGAATGGTCCTGAAAATAGATATTGTTTTTAAGAACGGTCGGTTTAACAGACCATTCTCTTTCTTATTGAACATTTCTTATAGCACAGCTACTCAAAATTACTATACATACATGTACTATAAATCCCACTAGATTTACCGCCAAAATTCTTCAAGTTTTACTGTTTTTCTGTACCTGCTTGTGTTCAGTGCACTGTAGTGGCTGAAAACAGTATTAAATACCATATTTACGCTTCCAACCAAACCAAACTTTTTTGACAGATTTGGGGCTTTACAAAATTTTAGTGAACTGTGGTGTTTTTTTTTGTAAGCTGTAAAAATGGTGCCTCTGAAAAAACATGATAAAAATGCAATTTTTTACAAATTAAAAAGAACACACCATAACAAAAAAATCATAGTTCATTAAACAAGTTTAAAGCCCCAAATCTATCAGAAAAAGTCGGTTTGGTTCGAGGCGTAAATAAAAAGTTTAATTTTATCGGTTTAGAGGATGAAGGTGTAGATGAACATGTAGCAAGTTCGGAGAATGATTCTTTTTTAAAATATAACATGTTTTCGGCTATATTGAATCCACCATTTTAAATTTTTGAGAACTGAATTCAAATTCATAATTAGCACCTCCAAAGACCCCAGAGTAAAGAGTTTCGAGCGAGTCCGATGAATTTTTCAAAAATATTTCCTCCATATTTATTACTTGAGGTTATTTAAAAATCGTGGTGATGTAGTCAAATTTGAGTTTCAGAGCTACGCATAGTCAGACCCACAGATCAGCGCCCAACATTTTTCTTTTTACGGCTGTGTAATGGATATATGGACCTAATAAAATATGCAATTAGTGGGAACGGTGTGAGTTGCTGGTGCGACCGCAACTCTACATTTATACCCGATTCTTGGTCAGTATGGCTCTCCTCCGGCAGACGGCGCTAACATTGAACGACAAAGATTGTGTTCGAGAGAGTCAGAAATTCAGTCAGAACGTGTCGTCGGGCGCTTCGCAGCCACTGCAAATTAATTTGTTCCTTTTGGTTATGATAATGATTCGATCTGATCCAGATTCGGCAAACTGGTAGATATGGTCATACCCTATGATTGTGCGACTTGTCGTATCTTCAAAATTGTAGCTGCCACAGATTTTCATCCGTGGAGATTTGTGGGCGGAAGAGGCGGGGCGAAGTTTTGAAATAAACTTGTGACAGTGACATATCAAAAAAGTCTGGATACAAATTTCGTTGCTCTAGCACTTATAGTCTCTGAGAACTAGCCGCTCATAGGAACGGAAAGATGGATAGACAGACATGGCTCAATCGACTCGGCTATATATATGTACTTTATGGGGTCGGAAACCATTCCTTCTGGAAGTTACACACATCCATTTTCACTACAAATCTAATATACCCCTATACTCGTTTTGGGTATCGTGTTGAAAAGGATACTCATACCATACCCATTTGTATCCTACCATAAAGATGCTGAGTGTGCATAGAAACTGAGTAAATTGCTACTCACTAAAAAAATGGTCAACTTTGAATGCTCGTATCTGCTAAACTAACAATTTTTGGATTTTCTGAAAGCTTCAAATAATTCGAAGCGCTCTCTTAGAAAAATACTTTTGCCACCGTTTTTCAGCTTGTGTCCCACTGTGGGTAGTGCCGCCAATTGTCTTCCTTTCAATGTGATTCCAAGTATGCCTGAGTGCGTATTTGGGAATGCATTTTTTAATAAATATTGAAGAGCCCACCTTATATGCCCCAACAAACCCAAAGAGAGAGAAAAATGAACGACCAATCCAGACGAATACAAACATACATATGTATATACGTATAAGCCTTCGGATAGCCAATCTCAAATCTGCTACCCAACCTCTGCATACTCATAGGCCAATTCATATCACTTCTTAGAGTTAAAGATACATACATACATATCATTCAATTCAATTGACATTAACTAGAAACTAGACTCCACTCGATATGATGTTCGCGAAGGGTTGAGGGATATATGTATTAGTTTTGTGGTGGAAGTGGATGTGTGTAGCGCCTAGACCCGAAAAGGAATATAAATTCTTAATCAGCATCAATAGCCGAGTCGATATAGCCATGTCCATCTGTCTCTGAGACTCTTACACTAAAAGCAAGAGCAACCAAATGTTGTATCCCGACTTATGTTTCACAAGTTTTTTTTCAATATTTTGGCTTACCGTCTCCCGTCCCTACCAAAATCAAAAATCTGTCTGCCTTTCCAAGTATTTGATAGATTTATATCAGCCTCAGATCGAAAACATTGGATTTGCCTTATTTAAAGAGTAGAAAAAAAAGAAGGAGTAGAAATACAAGCCAGGAAACTAAATTGGAGGACACAATTATCAAAAATCAGTAGGGAAGATAACTTCCGACTTATATAAAATCCCTTCAGAAAATAAACGAACCAACGGATATGCATTAACATTGTAAATATGTACATATTTACAGTATG